CACCCTAGCACTTCACTCTGTCACCCACCGCCTGTAAAGCACATCTCTTCCGCTCCCATCCCCCAGTGCTCCAGCACAACAACAGTCTGCACCTTAAGTGCAAATTCAGTCCTGCAGCAACCTCTAGTGGCCCTTGGGTGTGCCTTCCCATTGGCCAGTTGGCATCCCCAGAGGTCTTCAGGGCAAACCATGTTAATGTCATGAGAGGCTCTTGCCAACTTATTTCACCAGGGTGACCCCAAACTGGTGGGCTGGCACGGCGCCCTGGGAATTGCAGTATGGGCAACCAACTAGTCCCAGGGTTTACATGTGGGTACTATGGAAAATTGTTGGCTCCTCGCAAAATCTGTCAGTACAAGCGGGAAAAGAAAACCTTGAGTATTACCAGGAGGAAATGTGGAAAGAACACCTCCATGAATTTCCAGATACGCCCTGACACCCCTGAGGAATTAAGGCAGTGCCACCATTGATGGAAGGAAGTTGTAACCTGCCCTTCTAGTAAATCTTGCTCAGCTCCTCCTTTTGACTTGCTGCCTGGAGCCTGATCAGTCAATCCTCAACTAACTACAAATTAAGCATAGACATACAAGCTAACATAGTTGTAGTGATACATACATACTTAGTAGAAAATTGTAGTGCTTAAATTCTCAATATCAATTCATGAATGTCCTTTTTTCAATGTTATTGTCCTGCTTTGTTGGATTTTCATATGTTTTATTCTTCTACCTCATTGAAATGTAACTCCTTTTTAGTTAGTTGGTCTTTCTCTCATCATCAGTTCATTATTGATCTATGCATCTGATGTTTTCTCCCACAACTTGAAATCCTGTAAGGAGGATGCTTCAATTCCTCTAGATAGTAGCCAATGGCAACTCACCTGTCTTGATTGCACTGTTCCTCAGAGAGCCACTTGAGCCACCTCTTAGACTGATTGAACAACACTTATAAAGACTGCTCAATTGAGAATATGAGGTTACATCTACAGACCTTGTTTGGCTTTGGCTTTGCTAACTTGACCTCACCACTCTTAATCTCAACATCCTGTCTCTCTCCATTAATTTGGGTGATAAAATGTAAGGGTATTAGCTAATCAGCTCCCAAAAAGTGGAGGATCAACTCCCAAACCCCAAAACCCCCAAAAAATCCACTGATTTCCCCAGGAAATGGGAGTTGATCCTCCAATTCCAAACCCGTCAGTGGGATTGGGAGTTGAATCCCCACAAAATTTATTTGAAAAAAATGCCAACCCCCAAGGGAGTTGGGGGTTGATGCCCCAAAAACCAAGGGGTTTTGGGCGTCGGCTAACACAAAAGAGCCCGGACAGCCGGGAGATTCCTCCCGGCTGCTGATGGCACACCATTGATGGCCGAGAGAAACCCTCCCATCCCTCAAGGATGTACAGTTGCGGATGGCAAAAACCAACCCTGGATTTTGAGGGTGTCCAAAATTCTGAGCAAAAAAAAATAGATTTTTTTTGTATATACAGGGTTTTAGAGCTGGTCTCTGGATATCCGTTATCCGCTGGCGGATACCCGCCCGCTGTAGCGGATACCCGCCAGCGGATGCGTGTTTGGGTGCGGATGTGCCCTTTCCGCTGATTTTCCAGCGGATACCCGGGTATCTCAACGGATACCCCGAGGTCGGGAAGGGCAGATGGGCCGGCTGGAAGGTTTTCCTTCCAGGCTGGCAAGGTACATGTACCTCGACAGCTGGAAGGAAATCCTTCCAGTCGACTAGGCGGCCCTTTAAAGGGGGGGTATCGGTGGATACCCGCTCGGATACCCGCTGCGGCCGACGGATACCCGCTAGCGGGTGCGGATGCGGATGCGGATGGCCATTTGGCCTGAAAAAGCAGCCGGATATCCGCATCCGCGCGGTGTGGTAAATAATACTGTGTTTCTACGCAGAAAAATATAAAAATTTATTGTTATCTCTTTATATATTATATATATGGTAAAAATAACATCAGAAATGGATTTCTCAGGTAAAAGTACCCCTAGTCCCCCACTACAACTACCCCCATATCTCTCATACTTTAGAAGTTACACAGATTTCAACCTGTCATGGGATATCTTTTGGATTCTTTACTCTCAGTATGGCTTGTTTTGAATACTGGATGCATATTTGATATTGAATTCCTTTGTGTTGTATTGAATTCCTCTACTGGAACATAGTGCATATTGAATTCCTTTGTAGGTGCACATGCATTCCTTTGTAGTAGGACCTTGTAGGCTAGCCAAATTCCCTCAAGGCAGTGCCCTCACCAGCCAAATTCCCTCACCTGCATGTACTAGACTAGCTAAAATCCCTCATTGGATCTTCAGGCCAGCTAAAATGCCTCAAAAGCCTGTACCCTGGGGCTAAAATCCCTCACATTTGTCTATATAAGAGGCCTCTGCCTGCCAGTTGTTCCCTCCATCATCCCACCAGTGGACCAGATCATCTCAACACCCTTACAGATATATACAGTGACAGCCATAACATACATTATATGAATAC